TATAAAGTGAGCACTGTACATTCTGTATTCTGTGTTATAATTGAAATAAATATATTTGAAAATATAGAAAATATTGCTTAGCAGTGTGATTAAAACGGTGATTAATCATGATTAATTTTTTTAATCGTGTGAGTTAACGGTGATGAATTGACAACACTACTTCAAATCCTTACAGAAAAAAATCAAATATAACATCCAGGGGAGCCCTCTGAGCAGGGCTGCCCAGAGGATTCAGGGGCCCTGGGGTCTTTGGCGACGGGGGGCCCCCTGCCGCCGAATTGCCGCTGAAGACCCGGTGCTTCGGTGGTGGGTCCCGGGGCGAAAGGACCCCCCGCTGCGAATTGCCGCCGAAGAGCCAGAGCGGAAGAAGCTCCGGGGGCCCGGGCCCCACGAGAGTTTTCCGGGGGCCCCGGAGCGAGTGAAGGACCCTGCTCCAAGGGCCCCAAAAAAGCTCTCATGGGGGCCCCTGTGGGGCCCAGAGCAAATTGCCCCACTTGCCTCCCCCTCTGGGCGGCCCTGCCTCCGAGTCCCTGTCAAGAGAATCCAACACACTGGTTATTACATAAAGTATTGCCATTTTCAAGTGTCATGTTGCCCCAGGTTACAACAAACTCTTCCTGGCTGATTACATAGATAAATCAAGCGCCTACTTACTACATAGATAAAGCAAGAGCTTACTTACTACGCCAGAGGAAAGTCTGTCATAGCAATAACCAGAAAGCCTAGGTATGGGCAGTGGTACAGTTCTTAATATAGCAATGCACAGGGACGAGTGAGCACTTACATTTGGGTCAGAGGCAGAGCTTTGAGAGGATGAGGTGGTATTGTTATACAGAGAATCAAGTTCAAAGGTTAAGTTAGCGGAATGAATTTCTGACACGAGGGACTGCATTTGGTTAGATGGTTGAGAGAATTCCAGAGGCAGTAATTTCCATAGGCAGGAAAATGAAGGTGCTCCTGTAGTTCTCATTATTGGTGTACCCATCCTTGCTGCTTTAACACTAACACACAGACCATTGCTTACAGCTATGTGTCGAAATCTGCAGTTTTTGCATCATTTACAGTCTCCAGTTCTCTCTGGCGGGCCTTCAAGCTATGGAAGACTTTATTCAGCAAAGCACTTGACTGCTGCTGTGGAAGGAGCAGAGAATGGACACTGCAACTGGACAATGGGAGTGTTTCATTTAAAAAACAAATATCCAAAGGGGCAAGCTCCCACAAACAGAGATCTGCAATGAGCCTCTGAAGAGGTGACGGATGTATTTACCCTGGAACTAAAGTCACAGTAAGAGATCAGCCTCCTCAGAGCGAGTTCAAATGGTCTGGGACAAGCATCTGACTCTGTACCCGCCTGATAAGCTGTTTATGCTTCTACAAAGCAGACAAGGAAGCAATAAATGGGGTTTGCCAATACCATCCACTCTGCTTACAAAGGGCATGGGGAATACACACAACCTACAAGAAGTGCACAAGGCTACCTACAGCTGTCACTACGGCAGAGTCAGTTTCACCCTATTAGTGGATCTAGCACAGCAAACAGCTGCCAAGAAGAGTGCACGCACACGCACACACACACACACACACGTACGTTAGACCATCCCTAGGGGCAACTCTTTCACATTGCTCACATGCTCCAGATTTTACCTTTTCCGGCTTCCATTCCCCAGCCTCTGACTACAAGAAAAAACAAAAACAGGCATTTACACTGTGCTTTCCAGCTCAAAACCTGGGTCCTGACCCATCACAAACGTGGCTCCCCATCACTCTCTCCACGAAGGGTGCCTCGGGCAGGCTGTCTGACAGCTGGCACATTAGATACAGGAGTCAATGTGGTTTTGCTGGATGGACTGCAGAAGGCGTGTCAAGCCAAAGCAGTTATCCCAGCTGTAAAGTAGCATGCGCAGAAGCCAGCTGTAGCACTGTATGTGAACTCTGTTTTCTTTTGGAAGGTCGGGAGAAATCTCTTTGCCAGGTCTCCCTGCCTCTCAGAAGTGCTTACCAATGGGAGCGGGCAGTCATTACCTAAGATGCCTCGTTCAACCCCACCTAACCAGCACAGCTCTGCACACTCCCCCTCTCCCCTGCTCCGGTCATGAACGGTGAATGTTAGTTAATCAGGGTAAGGAAATGAGAGGGAGAGCGGTTTGGGGCCTATCTGGGGACCTTCAGGAAGGCCTCACTTTTTGTTTCCCACCCACCCTCATAACCTGTCCTGTAGGCCTGATGGGACTATTGGCTGTGGGCAAGGCTGGACAGAATGGGCAGCTCTGTTCACAGCTCAGTCCTACTCCTAAGGAGCCAAATCAAGAGCTGCAATTAGTAATGAGGTTCCCCTGCCTCCCTGCTCCCCAGGAACACAGCACACTATTTTCCAGCCCCCTAAATCCCCAGTAAGGATGGGAGGGGAGGGACCCAAAACCGGAGTAATAAGATTTGAACGTGTCCCTCCACTCTTGCATTTCACAGTGCAGAGCCTGGACATCAGTTCTGCTGGCACAAGGTTTTCTTGGGTTTGTGCATTAGACCCGACCAAGGCCTCAGCACTGCTAACGTCAAGCAGTCAGGCACAATTCCTCCACACAAGCGTTTGACACTGCACAGCACAGCCCTGGCTGGGCATCTCCATCCAGAAACGCCAGCAGGCTTCACTCTTCTGGGCACGTCTGAAAGGGGAGAATACAAACCATGCACCCTCCCCAGCCTTTCAACCCACAACCATCGGTAGTGTCCCACTAAACACAAGGCTGAATTCTTCCCCAGTGTAACAGTGCTCTATTCAATGGAGGAGTGGCAGGGATACATTTGTCTCACAATCTCCAATACGGCCTGTGGGAGCCAAACGCAACCCAGGATCAGCACCCAACTGCTGTGGTCAACTCTGGCTGCACTTGCAAATCACTCTCTGACCCCCACTCTACTCTACCCCCACCAGGTAGTTACTCTTCGGTTCGAGTGTGATCTATTCCCATGAGTTCAGACAGACACACCCTGCTCCTCAATATGGAAGTTTCTACATCAAGTTTGAAATACAGAATTTTCAATTTAAAAAAAAAAAAAAGATTTAAACAAAATTCCTCCCAAAATTAAAGCAGCCTCTAGGCAAGTTGGCTTATGAAGCCCACCTGGAAAAGGACTAGCTAAAAGCTAGGCATTATCACCCACCACTCTAGTGAGCAATGTCTGCCAAAAGCCTTGGGATGTTGGTAGGTTTTCAACTGATCTACACAGTGCGACTAGCAGGTTCTCTCACCCTGCCCCACAGACACAGCAAGCTAGACTTTGAAGGGAAGCAAGACCACTTGATAAATACTACAAGGGGGTGACTTAAACCACAGAGAAATCACACATTTTTCATGGGTTGGTCACGGCATAAACAGGATATTTCGTAGCTATATTATACATCTGCGAAATTTGCTATTTATGCCGTGACCAACCCACAAAAAATTTTCTCTATAGCTTTTCTCAAACTGTGGGCCCTGACCCGAAAGGGTCACCTGGGACACCTGGCATTGGCCACTGTCAGAAGACAGGATACTGGGCTAGATGGACCTTTGATCTGACCCAGTATGGCCATTCTTATGTTCTTAAGGGGGTCGCAAGCCTATTAGGAGGTCACAGTATTGTCATCCTTACTTCTCCACTGCTGCTGGCGGTGGCCCTGCCTGAAGCTGGGAGGTGGGAGAGCGGCAGCTGCTGCCCAGGCACCCAGCTCTGAAGGCAGTGCCACCAGCAGCAGCGGAGAAGAAAGGATGGCATGGTGTTCTGTACTGCCGCTGGCAGTAGCAATAAGACTCACCTAAAGCTTATCAGGAAATAGCTGTCTTAACACAGCACTCCACAATCAGTTAAGCCTCAGTACATGTGAGTTATTCACAGTCCTATTTTTATATGGGGAAATAGAGGCACAGAGCAGCCATTTAGCCTAGACCACACTGGCAGGGGTTCCTGGATCCTAGTTACATAATCAAGCCGCTAAGCAAAGCTGCCTCCGAGAGGCCATCAGTTCTCTGGAGAGCTCCCTTCTTGTCTCCAGGCTGCCTACCTTGCCTTTGTGCATTTCCTGCAGCCACTGACGGAGTCGGATCAGGCAGCTTTCCTGCATTGGAGTCAGCTGCCCCAGGTACCGTTCAATGTAATCAGCGTCCAGTTTGTCAGCTAGAGAGGGAAGAAAACAGCAACTCAGGGGAGAATTCACCCTGGTAGAAGTGGAGGATCTGGGGAATTGTACAGTTATTGCCATACACTAAACACACACATGCAATTTCCACTGGGAATTTTCAAACACTCTCGGCCTTCTTCATCAACAGTCTGCCTGGCTTTTGTCTGGGAAGGGCTGGACAGCATCCCAAGGAGTCCATGGGAGACATTTTGATTACAATTAGGGCGTGGGGACCGAGTCAGTAATTTGGGACATCTAGGGCATCACAGCAGGGTCCACCCAGTACTCAATGGTGCCAATATGCCTTCTAATTCCTGCCTCCATCCCAAAGCTGCGCTGGTCTCTGGCTGGGATTTTCAAAGGAGCTTCAGGGACTTAGGCACCCACCTCCTTGGATTTCAATGGGTTCTGGACACCTACCTACCTTGGGCTCTTTTGAAAATCCCACTCCACTATATTCCTACAGCAAGAGGGAACAGCAGCCCGTCTGGAAGCTGCTGAAATGCTATTCCACGGATAGCCACCAGGGGGAAAGAGTGAATAACTTTAGTGGCTCCTCTCAGTATACAAGGGTGGCCTTTACCATGAGGATTGTCCTGTGTGGCTAGTGCAGCGCAGGGTCCCTCCAGGGCATAGAGACAAAGGACAAGGGGATCACATCTGCCAGCATGTGGCATTCCAGGCAGATGCGCAGCCAGAGGCGTTTGTGTACAGGGAACATGGTACCAAGAGTAGCGGCACAGGCCAGCAGCTGTGCTGGAGGCATGTGGAGACAGAAGGGAAAGGAGAGCAGAGGGAATAGTTCTGACCCTGGATACAATAGGCGACAGTATCGCACAACAGGGATCACATGCCTAGAGAACACGCTGCTGCCCCTCAGTCCTACAGGAGAGGAGAGCCTTCCTAAATGCACCCTCACCGCAGATCATAGGCACCGTCTCTGTGGGTGCTCCGGGGCTGGAGCACCCATGGAAAAAATAGTGGGTGCTCAGCACCCACCAGCTACAGCTGATCGGGGGTGCCCCCACAAAACAGCTGATCAGAGGTTCAGGGAGGGGACAGAGTGAGCATTTATCACCCCCGGGGAAAACTAAGTCAGCAGCTATGCCACAGATCCAGCCAAGCTAGGGAGCAGAGACACAATGGAATGGAAAGAGGGCAGCTGGGAGAGCCATACAAAGCTGGCAGTTCAAGAGCAGAGATATGTGAAGAAAAGGAAGCCAATAATTCTCCCCCCACCCGGCTGCTAAGTAGAGTTCTCCACTTCTTATAGCACCTTTCATCTCAAAGCACTTTACCAATATTAATTGTGCCTTCGAGCTTCCTTAGCCAGTGGCTAAGTATTCAAACCATTTTACATATGGGTAAACTAAGGTATAGAGAAGCTACATGACCAAGGCCAGGCAGGAACAGAACCCAGGAGTCCCACATCTCAGTTTCTTGCTGTTCTCGAAGTTCCTGGAGACATACCTCAATTGCAAGGGCCAGGGATTCTGAGTTAAAGCTCCCAATGTTGCAGGTGTCACTGCAATGCTACAATGACCTCTCACTTCCTTCTGCTTAGGCAGACACTTTCACACTGGGCTGGAGCCTTTTCCTACATCAGGCTGCAGGAGCTTCAAGAGTTAAGTGGCAGAAAAATCCCAGTGAGAGACCCAGAAGGTCTTCACTGCTAACCTTCACCGCTGCCTGGGGATAACATACCATCAGGGCTAGCCGTCTCTGCAGCGGGGCACGAGCTGCCTGGCTGCTCTTTGGTAGTTCCATGCATGCAAGACTCTGCTGGCACAATACCAGGGTTGTCCCCCACAGCCAGGGCCCTCTTTTCCTTTTGTCTGCTCACTGGTGGAGGTGTCCATCGGGGGATGAAGGTGATGCCCTGGGAGATCAGCTCCTTCAGGTAATGCTCAATCACCTCCTTGCCCTGGAATTGAAGGCTTGCATTAGAGAGAGAAACCCCGTGGGAAAGGATTTCTAATGCTCCGAGAGATCAGTATCCCTCCCAGCCGCAAGCGGGAAGGGGAAGTTTCCCTAGCCCAGGGAAGAAGGAGCACATGCCTGTGTTTAATGGCCTCGTGCAGCAGCTTTAGAGCAAGGCAGCAGAATGGATCGTGTGGGGAATGTTTTATTGGAGTGTGAAAGGCACACTCTAGAGAAGAGAAAACATGCTGTTACTCAGGAGAAAGCCCTACACATCTCACCTGTTTGCTGCACTGCTCCCCTGCAACCCTAAACTCAGGGAAAAGGCCATCAAATCAAACGATCATCTCCCCCAAGACAACGCCATTGCACTGCCCAGATCCCGTCAGAGCAGAGTCTTTAGTGGAATGAAACTAACAGGCACCCAGGGCTCGTCCTTCCTGCATGTGTATTCAGGAAGGAGGCTTCCCGTGTGGGGACACTGGTCAGGGAGCCTGGACTGCACATGGAACGTAGCCCTCACACAGAATAATTCCCTTACAACCTCTGCATGGAGATATCCAAATGAACAGATTGTTTTGCTTGTTGGATAGTGGCTTAATTTCCGCTCTCTACCACTGAGACTCAGAGACCCAGGGCAGGGCCCAGATGCTCCTTAGAGCTGCGTTTTCTCTCTCTACAGAGGACGAAACTCAGGCAACAGCGAGGCGAAGGGACTTATTCAAGGCAACGGCACAGGGGAGAATTGGTCACAGAACCTAGGTCTCCTGCTGATTCCCACTCCCTTGATCTACCCATTAGAGAACATTGCATCTCATGACCCTTTGCGCTCACTGCCATGGCAATCTTGGACCCGAACAGCCATTTTACTTCCCCACTTCTAATGGGCTGTGGACACTTGAGCTGCAGTTCTCGGAGCTAGGGGGAAAGCCAACTCTCACCCGCTTGATGTTGGCAGTGTACTGCTTCATGGCAATTTTCTCCACTGTGTTTTCAAAGCCAAAGAACGACTTGATGTCAAGAGACGCAGACTGTTCAAAGCATGTCCACTCTTCATTCTCAGGGTGAACCTAAACTCAGACAGAGACAGGCCCGGGGTCACACAGCGCAGAGCAGACCAAGGCTGCCAGCCTTCACACCAGGTAGTAATGGGGCTGTTCACTCTCCCAGGCTGCAGACCAGGGGGCTTCCTGCAGGATGTAGGTCTGTCAGTATTTAGTGATCTGATTAATCAGGACTGCGATGCTCAGTCTGACAGCAGCGTTAGAACACATCTGGAGCACAACCACCCTTAGGATGGGATTCTCCCCACTCAAGGAAATCAAGACTAAACCTACCTCTGCTGCTTGGCCCCCCAAATGGTAATGGCAGGAGTAGAAAGAGCATTACAACAGCGCCGAGAGCATTTAATCAAAGCCATGGTGCTAGACGCAGTACATGCACATAGCAAGAGATGGTCACTGTGAAGCAAACCCGCAGCCAAACCAGGGCTGCTCGCTCAGCTGCCCCTCCAGCAGAGCCTGCAGTGACTCAGCCTTCAGGCACGTGGCAGCAGCTTGTCCCTGAGCAGAGACTGGGTCATTTGAGCCTGGGGTCATCTATTTCCCCAAGCCAGTCAGAACTGTTGATTTATCTATGCAACAGTATAGCCCGGCCAGGAACCCTCCTGCTGCCTCGCAGCATAACACACTCTCCAGCCTGTTCTTGATCCCGTTCCTGCCCCAGCCTTGCCTGAGCCTGGTTCTGGGTCTTGTCCTTGAACTACTCCGACCTCACTTCAGCCCTTGCGCCTCCTGACCCTCAGACTCTGACTATCCAGCTTCAAACTTTGGTCTGCACCTGGACTCCAGCTATGGTACTGACTTGGCTTTCCCTGGTCTCTGATCTCTGTTCTAGCACTACCCTCGGCCCAGCCCTGACCCTACAGCCGGCTTTGACCTCCCCTCCAACTGCTAGGCCCAATTACCAGGAGGAAGCACTTGACAGTCATTACCACTGCCCCAAACAGTTCACAAGTTAAATAGATAAGACAGAGTGGAGGAAGGGGGGAAATTATCCTCCCTTGTTGAATAGATGGGAAATGGGTACCCACAAATTAAATGACTCACCCCAAGTTGCCAGGAAGTCTGTGGCAGAGCTAGGAACTAAATCCAGGTCTCTTGAGTCTCAGCCACTACCTTAACCACAGAACCTCCTTTCTCTCTAGGCAGTCTCCCTACATTCTTTTCCTCAAGGAAAACACCCACATAGCTCTTACCTCTATCCCTTGTTAAGGAGTCTGCTTTCCCCTTATGTGTTACTGTTTTAGCCCAGTAACAGAGTATAACCCCCCGCACCCCATGCACATAGAGATTGGTAAAGAACAGAGTCCACATGGGGATTATAGGCAGTAGCCAGAGAAAGATCTTATTTCTCCAAGGAACACAGCTGAGGTTGAAACATGAGAAAAACCGGTTTCCTGTACACTCCCACAATTAAGAGGAAATGAGCAAAAATAGACAGCAGGAGCATCTCAAGGATGCAAACAAGTAGTTCCTCCCTTCCAGAAAGCAGACATATCTTGGAAACCCAGGAGTTAACCTTCCTTCCAGAGTTGTTCAAGACCTGCAGGTAACACACTGTGGTCAGAGAGATCCCGGTAGCATGAAATTTGGCACTGGTGCATGCGCACACACACAGCCTCACTGCTGGGCTCACCGAGCAGCAGCTCAACACAGTCAGCAGCTGAGATAGACCCATGGTGACAGCAATGGAAAAACCTGATCCATTATCATTTCCATGACCACCACGCCACACAAATGTCCCAATGGTCCTGGCCCTGGGGGCCAAGTGAAATCAGAGGGTGGGGGGAGAAGATTTGGGCAGGGGGTTAAGTTATTTGCTTCGCTAGAAGCGACAGCCATTGCAAGCTTCTTTGATTCCAAGAAGCTGCACTAACGTACAAGTGCTGAGAGGGCAGGTAAGTAACATGATCTGGACTTTTGTTTAGAAAACATGGTGAGGTATCCGATTGCTTCCAGAAATAGATGACGCTATTTTTAATGGTGATTGAACCCCTGTGGCCCAGAAGCACTGATATGGTACACACACTTGACAAATGGAACACGCTGGGTGACATCTTCTCAGGCCACAGATAAGTAGCACAAGAGCTTTATCTAAATGATCGACACAGGAGCAATCTGGAAGTCCCGGGGACAGAAAGAGCACGACAGGGAAGCCAGGAACTGCGCTCATTTGGGAGCAGCATGAGAATGCAGCTGCCACAACTGCCTGCCCTACCCACCACCTCAACTTCCCATCACAATAAGTTCTCGGGGCTCCTCCCTAAACTGCTAGAATCATGCCAAGGCCAAACCCCGACACTGGCCAGACATCCCTGTTAACTCTAATTCTAAACCCAGAGAACTATGGGAACACTTTATACCAAATCTAGAGCCCCACCTGCCTCTCCTTGCTCTCGGATCTCACCCCAGGACCTAATACTCCAGCCAAGGCAAGGCAACTCCTTCCCCGCAGATGAGCTAGCTGCTGAGCACCTTTGGGAGTCCCTTCAGGTATCCATCAAAATGGAGCCCCCAATCCAGGTCAACAGGCTTCCAAGTCACATTGGATTACGGCTCAGCATCCACACTCTTCGGAGCACCCTCCCCTGGCTGTTAGCCCAAGGCGGAAGGCTTCCGCCATGGTCACTCAGCTGCTCTGGCTCACCACATGGTCAACAGGAAAAGGAAGGCTGCTTGGGAAGAGAGGTACTTACCGAGTAGCTACACGTCTCAAGGACAACAACACGATTGGCAAAGGTCTCGTTGTGAGCCTCAATGAGGAGTGTTCGCTCCTTCCAGTTTACGGTGTTTTTCTGTATGAAAAAGACATACTCTACCCCAGCGATCTGAGAAGGAAGGAAGAACAAAGCCATACAGGACGTTAGGAGATGTGGGAGCAGAGCAGTCACCACGGCTCCAGCCTCTACTGCCCAAAGCAGCAGACACAAGGAAGCCTGGACACACTATGTACATTAGGCTCTCACCTTCTTCAGCAGCCGCGGAGCGTCCACATTCAGCTTGCAACTCCGTTCGACAATATGAACAGCTCCATCATCACTCTTGGATTCCTGAAGGATCTCACTGCCCAGGAAGACAGGGATCTCTGGGCACGTGGGAAAGCGCTTCTCATAAGCCTAGGAGATGCAATGAAGAATAAGGCTACTGGAAGTGCTGCAGCTGTGCCGCCCTAGTGCTGTAATGTAGACACTTACTACAGCGACAGAAGGGGCTCTTCTGTCGCGGTCGTAAGTCCACCTCTCCAAGATGTACTAGCTAAGTCAGAGTCAACATCAGGCCTAATCATAAAATATCAGAGTTGGAAGGGACCTCAGGAGTTCATCTAGTCCAATCCCCTGCTCAAAGCAGGACCAATTCTCAACTAAATCATCCCAGCCAGGGCTTTGTCAAGCCTGACCTTAAAAGCCTCTAAGGAAGGAGTTTCCACCACCTCCCTAGGTAACCCAGTCCAGTGCTTCACCACTTGCCTAGTGAAAAAGTTTTTCCTAATATCCAACCTAGACCTCCCCACTGCAACTTGAGACCATTATTCCTTGTCCTTAGCTTTAGACCAGCTAAACTACATCTCTCAGGGGAGTGATACCTAACTTTGTAGTGTAGACCAGCCCTGAGCCTCAGCCACCGGGCCATTCACAAAGACCTCTGCTGACAGGCCACAGAGCTACAAAATCCCCTTCATCTCAGAAAAGAGGAGCTAATGCAGAGGGTTAAGTTATAGCGCGGTGCACAACTGCACACCAATCTTTACTAAAGCAGGGATTAGTTAATCCCTAGGAAGGTTGTGGAATCTGTCATGGGAGGTTTGAGAACAGGATGACAAACACCTGTCAGGGATAGTCTAGATCAGTGGTCCCCAGACTGTGGGGCACAACCCTATAGGGGGGCACGGAGGAACATTCGCGGGGGGGAGTGCAGCAGGCCCTGGGGGTGGGGAGAGACCTGTGGCCAGGTCCACTCTGCCCTCAGTTCCACCCTTTGCTCCACACCTGAGTCAGCTCTGGCCCCAGCCACAGCTCCACTCCTCCCATTGCTCTGCCCCCAGCTACAGCTCTGCCCTCAGTCCCTCTCCATCTCTAGCCCCAGCTCCTCCGTCAGCCCAAGCTCTTCTGCGGAGGGAGCTATGGCTGTGCAGTAATGGAGGGGAGGGGTGCGGACAGTTTCCATTATTGGTAAGGGTGTGGGGGAAGAAGAGCACAACAGGAACTTCATGTTAGCTAGCGGGGTCCCTCCAGGTTATGTTGTAATGTGAGGTATCTGGGAGCCAGGTGATTTTATTCTGGGTTGTGGAATGGTGTTCCATCTCTGGAGACCAGAGCTACAATCCTATCAGGTCAGAAGTAAGACAATTACATAAATTTCCATCTTCTCTCAACCCTCCTTCCTCCCTCTTCCCAATTTTGGGCATGTCCCAGAAGTATTACCTGACTGAACAGCATTCTCAAGAGGCCAGAACCAGAATAGCTGCAAGTCAGAATTGAAGTGCCTTAGCAGAGCTGTGCATGGCCCCAGGAACACAATAGCAGGGGGTAAAGATTGAAGTGTTTGTGTGATACTTGCACTACATTAGCACTACAAAAGTAGTGCTAGAAAGGACCTCAAGAGGTCATCTAGTCTACCCGCCCATCCTTCAGCTGAGGCAGGACCAGGTAAACCTTGACCGTCTCTGACAAGTGTTTGTCCAACCTGTTCTTAAAAAGCCTCCAATGATTGGGATTCTACAACCTCCCTTGGAAGCCTAGTCCACAGCTTAACTAACTTTTTATAGCAGTGGTCCCTAAACTTTTCACATCACGCCCCCCCTTATCCCAGTCTGCATGGCCCCCCGCTGGAGCTGGGGGCAGGGCTGTGGCTTAGGGGGTGTTTGGACAGGGGTAAGCCACAGCTGGGGGCAGGTCTGGGGGTGGGAGTGGGACTGCAGCCTGGAGCCAAGGCTGGGACTGGGAGCAGAGCCACAGCCAGCGGCCACGGCTGAGGTTGGGGGCGGGACTGGAGCCAGGACCAGGACTGGGGGCAGAGTGGAGCTGGGCTGCTAATACACCCCAGAATGCTATTATCCTTTTTTCTTTGCAACTGCATCACACTGTAGACTCTCATTCCACTTGTGATCCACCGTAAACCCCAGGTCCTCTTCAGCAGTACTCCCACCTACCCACTTATTCACCATTTGTACGTATGCTTTAGATTTTACCTTCCTAAGTGTAATACTTTGCATTTGTATTTATTGAATTTCATCTTGCTCTGTAAATCTTTAATGCTAGTTTATCAGAAAGGCTCTCCCCAGCTAGGGGCAGGTGTCAAGAACTAGCTGCTGTTCTTCCTTAGTCTGTCTTTATCTTAAGCCAAATGCCTTCAGCAAAACACAAGGGATCCACATATTCTGTAGGACTTTGCAGGGGTTTAAAACTTGCCATGTGACTGTGCAGCACAAAGGACCCCTGAACTGCAGCCGATAGCTAGCGCAGGTCCAGTTCACGTTCATCTGCCTTGAGCCTGTAGATTTGCCTGGCTGAAGCCTTATCTAAGGCAAGGCTAAACTTTTGACTTCTCTGTCGAGCTAGCTCAGGGGTTCTCAAAACTGGGGGTCAGGACTCCTCAGGGGGTCACAAGGTTTAGGTTATTACATGGGGAGTCCTGAGCTGTCAGCCTCCACCCCAAACCCTACTTTGCCTGAAGCATTTATAATGGTGTTAAATATATTTTAAAGTGTTTTTAATTTATAAGTGGGGGGTCACATTCAGGGGCTTGCTATGTGAAAGGGGTCACTAATACAAAAGCTTGAGAACCACTGAGCTAGCTGCTGAAGAGTTGTAGGGCAATGTGTGACTTCAGCAAACAGAACCACATGGGTTGGGGAGCAGACAGGTAGGGCTGACACCTCTCGGGGGGAGTGTGGAAGATGGGCCTGGTGATACTCAAATGGACAATATTTGTAATTTGCAGCCAGGCTTTTGAACCATGCCAGTACCAGCCTCGGACAGCGCAGCGTGTCCTTGCCAGCACTTGGGTCACTTTCTAGCTACTGTACCGGTTTCTGACACCCTGTGGCCATGCTCTTAGTCTGGGGAGGTGTGAAGTCATAATTGGGTTTTTGGTGTCTTTGTGGGAGTGTTAACAGCATGTGTAATAAATTATACAAGTCAGAAATGATGAGGGCAGGTGCCAAGTAATACTGCACGCTGGTGGCCTAAGGGGTAGCTTGCAGCTTTCATTGGCCCAGTGTTGAGAATCTGATGCCAAGGAATGGCTGGGCTGAACTGCCTGAAGTAACTCTTGCCTGAATGCTCCAGGAAAAAACATGTTTTGGGGTTGTTGTTTTTTTCCTCAAGGGGACAAGAGCGTGAAAACAGTGATCTTGGGACAGTGAAGGTCATGAATTTGGAGGAGGGTGTGGGAAGCAGGAAATGTTAACCCCAGCCTCCTCTTCTGGAAGAAAGATTGGTACGCTGACAATGGCAGGTTTCAGAGAGCAGGTAATTAGGGAATCCATGCCTAACTCTCTGACCCTAGAACAAAGTGCAGTGTGGGAACCAGCTACCTGGGAGCATCCTTTGGCATTGTCTGACAGTCGTGAATATTCCTGTGAGGCTTGAAAACCTGTAGCAAATCAAGCTGCTTGAACAATAAGGTGCCTTTGGCCAAGGAGCCAGTTTATCCTGTGAGTGAGATTAGACCATTGGTGATTAGCCAATCGCTCCGGGAAGCTTTAATTTTTCTTAAAACATCCTCTCCTCAAAAGAGGATGGCCTTAATGGGAGGCCTTACAGACCTGGGGAGATCTGCAGAGACGAATACATGACTTGGGGACATGACTTGATGAACATGCTAATAACAGGCAGAGGGTGAGTTAAGGATGTGAGCTCTAAAGGCCAGAATTCCACCTAGGGTAGTCTCTCTTCCTATTCTGGATATTTGAGCTTGCTGACCGCCTGAAATCGATGCCATTCCATTCAGAGATCTAAGAGCAGGGGAGCTGGAATGTGTCCTCAGAAGCCTGTGCTATTTTAAGGGCGGGTGCTATTCCCAGCAGCAGGCCACACAAGCCTGGGTGGTGGGAAGTCAGCCTCCCATACGCTGGGGGTGTACACACTGCTTTGGTAATTGGCAGCCCCCACACAGGCTGCGTTGTGCACATAATGACATCTGAGATGATCTCATTTATGGTCGTGTTATCTCCTTTCTGTGGTTGGTTGGCTGAAGGGACTTGCACTTCTGTGTGACACAAGAGAGTCTTCCAAGTCCATCATATTTGCCATATACTGACTGGGAGCTCCTGGCAACTTAACCCAATAGCCCACGTATAGCCGAGTCCAGCCTCCATTTGCACCAAAAGCAAAGAAGTTTGAAGGGATCCATGAGACTGCTGCAAGAAAGAACCCTTTCCACCGTCCTCAGTTTGTCTGCCCTAGGGACCTCTACACTGGAGTTGTAAGCCCTTTGTACAGTACATGCTCCTGTTTAGTTATTTTTTATTTACAGCTGCACCCACCATCATACTAGGCACTTTCCATAAAACCTCAAGAAGGATGATCCGCTCTCCAAGGAGCTTGTAGGACAGACAAGTAGAGAGAAGTTAGGAGAAGGAGAACTTGAATGCATGTCAGCTTGATTCACAGTAAGAGGCATGGCAGTGGGGTATTAGGAGGTACTCAAACATGGACAAAATTGGGGAGAGGCCTTGCAGATAAACTTGGGATAGGGGTGGCCCATGCATAGGAGGCAAGACCTGGAGGTGATGGCATGCTTCACATGCCAGTAGTAAAACTTGACATGGTTAGATGTTTGTAATGGAGCTAGATTTGGAGGGGGAGGGGGGAAAATGGGTTTTGCATTGTGTATTATTCCATTCTCTTCACTTAACGCCTTTCAGCAGAGGATCTCCAAGTGCTTCACAGAACTGATTAGGAATAGAAAAAGTTTTAAAAAAGTAAAAACTTCATAAATTTTAAACTTTCCTCTGTAGTGTTGGTAATGCAAACTGCAGCACTGGGCTAGTGCAGGACTGGGTGCAGGGGAGGAAGTGAAACTGACTAGTTTAGCTTCACTGTCCAAAGGAAGTAAAAGTCGAGGAAACAACCTGCATTGCTAGGGAATGTGTACAGTAATGCACAGCATTTGC